TTTACTGTTCTTTACCAAATGATAAGTAATAAAATGTATTAGTTATTACCTGGAAACAAGTAATAAATCTTATTACTTTATTACTTATTACTTTTTTCAAGTAATAATCTTTTATTACTTTACTTATCACTAATAAGACGAAAAGTAATACAAAGTAATAAGTAAAATGATGAAAAATTATTATATAGTGATAAGATGAAGTTAGGGCTTTTCTTGTAAATTCTATAACTTTGGAAAGAATGGTCGTGTAGAGCTGGGAGATGTCTCATTTTAATCAGACTTTCGCAGCCTACAATTCTGACTTATTTAGAAAAACTATTGGGGATTTTTTGAGGTTTTTGGAAAACCAGTTTTCCAGAAACCGGTTAGGAAAGACCTATGGGCAAAAACAGTTATCATACTCGGAATCCGCATCGTCCATTACCTGTAAACTACCGGATTTCGTTAGAAAAGCGGGTGGACACCTGGAAAGGTTCCCTTGTCAGTATACATCGTCTTATTGAAAAAAACGAGGTGACAAATGAATATTCTTTATTGGTGATTTTGTCTTGATTTAAGGAGAGCTGCTGAGCATTTTAAATTTTTTTCAAACCAATGAAATTTACGATGTATTTTTCTTACAGTTCATGACTATTTCTCGTTATCATTTCTGCTATCTTTCGACTAAGCCATGATGATGACTGGTGTTGTACATAATATTTGAGAAAAATGGTATGTAAAGGCATCAGTCTATAATTGTAATAGACTGATTTTAATTGTATAATTCAATCATTGTGCAGAATATAGGGAAGAACAGCGAAGTTGATTTTTGCAGTTCGTCTGCAAAGATCAAGTTCGTGTGCTCGATCCTAGCTTTGTGCAAGGATTGATTTTGTGTTTTGATAGTTTAAGTTTCAGAATGATATAATGGGAATTTATATTCTCGATTTCGTTCTGGTTCAAGATTAAAGCTTAAACCAAATGTATGTACGTTATTTTCTATTGTAATGTTAAATTTAGATGTACCGTCACTTATGTTTATCTCTATTTTACAAACACTTTTGAATGCCATAGTATAATTAAAAACAAAGACATACACACATATATTTCTTTTAACAGATACATAGAACTATTTGTCTAGAAGTTCTGGAGTGGTTAAACTTTGAAGTAAATAACATCTGAAGTTAAAAAGCATCACTCTGTTTTTATAATATCCTGTATTAGTGCGCGGTCTAGGTATCAGGATGGTGAAATATTTTTATCGTTGACTGTACACTCTAACCGATCAGACATGATAATCAGTGGTTCTACTAAAAACTTTAATATATCGTGAGTCAAAGAAAACAATTTAGATGTATACTTTTCACTTTGTCGAGAGATGAGCCACTAACAATGATTGAACGACAAAATTAGAATCTAACTGGTTTTTGTATTATTGTAAACTACTATGCATAATTTTACAGATAATCTGTAAATAACTTTTATGAAGAAATTCATTTCGAGATTGAACATTTTTCACTTTCAAATTCAATTTGGACCAAGGACATTTTTTCAATATTCAAAATAAACGTTTACTTCAAATCACTAGTATGGAAAAGTTTTGTATGTGAACAAAAGTCAGAAATGGTTATTTGTCTTTAGTTCGTTCTCAGTAAAATGTGTGATTATTGATGTGATCATCTCAGATTGCATACAAAAGGTGTGTGTTCCATGAAAACATATTTTCGGATTCAGAAAGTGTGTTTTTATTGTTTTATAACTTCACATGATTTTTTTTGTTTATTTAAATAGAATCTATGTCAAATAATGTGTTTTTATCGTGAATTTATTTCGATATTTTAGAAAATTTTATAGATTACTCATGTCAATAAGTTCAGGACACCTCTCAAAAAGAAATGATTCACTACCGAGTAGTCTTGTGACAATTATAAAAATTCTGTATTGCACTTTTACGTGTTTTGTGCTGAAACCTTTCTAAAAAATACGAAATGTCCTACTCGAATGTATTTTTGCAGCTAATGAATTTCATTTCATCCTTGTTTTGAAAAGTGTGTGAGCATATCACCTTGAGATTTCAAATAAACCACTATTCATGTAATGAAATATTGTTTTTTGCTTTCATATTGAACTCAATGGCGTACGTTCATCATTGGATAAGGGATGCTAGCCGACCTCATGGTCGACATGGTCGTACAATATTGTGAAACTGTAGCAGCTACAACTCAGTCTGAATGAACAATTAATTGGTAGCCGCGTTACTCTCTACCAGTTGGAAGCGTTTGTTTCTTAATTCTAACGACAGATCGTGTGTATTTTTGTTAGAGCTTTTCTTTCTTTTTATAGAATCCTGATATACTAGCGGGAAGATGTATTACATTTAAACATTCATAGAAAAGATGGTCTTGACATGTTCACACATAGTGAGATAGTCTAGAAGTCATTTTCAAATGATACGTGTGATTATTATTGCCTAAAAAATTTCTTAACAAATGAATTTTTTTACACATCACTTTCTAAATCGAAGAGATGAGAAAAATATGAGCAGTTATCGTTTTCAAACAGACAGAAAACGATTTCTTTAATGCTACAATTCACCATTATAAATGTATAAATGCGTTTAAAAATTTTGACAGGTTTCTGCACATCAAATAAAATCAAACCCGTCCTCTCGAAAAAAACAATGAAATAAGAAGCCCGCTTAAATATTATGTATCAGCTTTTGTATATGATATGGCTTCTCTCCATTAACGAAATATTTTTATTAGATTTAACCGACCTTCTCTTTTTTTCTGTTAAATAGAACTTCTCTCATTCATTATGTCAAGTATTTTCGCAGGAGTATAAAACGATATACTACATCTTTAGGTTATACAGGTATACAGCAGCTGGAAAACGGACAATGGTAAAAACTGTTTTTTTTTCATTCTGTTCTTCTTCAATATTTTATTTAACTAGAAGAAATTAAATTAAAGCATCTGTATTCGAAAAAAGCCTTTTCTCTTCTTTACATGCTTTACTGTTGTAATTGTACGTCTTTTGCTATACTCTACTATAAGTATTCGAACAAAATTGTTCACTTTCGTTTCTTTCATTTAGATAAACATTTAATTTCTACATCTTTATTTATGATTTTGTTGTGAAGATGCGTTTAAAAACTCTTCATCATCAACGTCCAATATCTAAAGCTGAAGGTATTGTTATTACTGGAAATAAAATTGATTTAATAAATGATATTAAAACAAAATATCATCATAAAATTGATTCAATGAATAATGATGGTACTAAACAAAATACAAATCGTTCACAAAAACACTTTGAACAAATCCGTCAAAATCTCGCTTCAGATACATCAACAGCATCATATCAAGCAATTGAAGCTACGTATCTTAAACATGGAATAATAATTCATATTTTAAAAACAACACCAATGGTAAAAGTGACAAACCAAAATACATCATCTATATTAACGTCAAACACTAAGCCAACATTTCGTCGCAAAGCATTTTTATGTAAAAAACAAAATTGTGATCTACAACACCGTTCAATAAATATACTACAATATTCGATGAATGATGAAACAAACTCTGAATCGAATCATGCAAAATCACTTACTGAATTAGAGACTGCTACATCAATAATGGCAGATGACTTAGATAAAAATCTTATTTTAAACGTTTCATATCCTGTCGATCAAGGGCAGCACAGTTCATTCGATATTCATTCATCATCCATTATTACTAATGAAAAGTCAGAGATTGTCGAAGATGATAGAAGTCAGCTACTACTGTTAAGAGCTCAGTCATCCGTACAGCAAGACAAAGACGAACCAACGAAACATTTTACTAATATTAAATTTAATGAAGAAAGTGTTCAATCACTATCACCTAAACAACAACAACAAGTTAAAGAAGATCCAGATTTGGTTTACATGTATAATTTATTGAAAAAACATACAGGAAATAGTGTTACTGGTATGTATAAATTGCAGTGTGTGACACGAATGATCTCTTGTATACCACGCATCAGAAATGGAAAGTTGAAAAAAGGAAAATACTCTTTCTCTCATTGTAAAATTTATGCTTCTTCTAAACAGCAGGACATGCTAATCTTTATTATGGTTTCATACGAATGTCGTGTATTTTAAGTAAACTTCCCTTTTAGCTAATTTTATTTCTTGTGTTTATTTTTGAAGAGGAAAAAATTCTATCAACTTTTTGTCGAATCAATTTTGATGAATCGAAATGCTTTCTTAATTTTCAAACACTTTTTATAAAGTGTTAAATGAAACATCATACATAATTAAATATCTTTATTTTTATAGACGCTATTCGTCGTCGAGCGGGTCTTCGTAATACATTTGCTGTACATCGTCGATTATCTCAAAATCTTGCTAGTGGTGAAGAATCAAATAACAAAAGTCATTATAATAAAGTATTAATTCCATATACCCATTCTAATATCGATTTTTGTCCAACACCTACCATTACAAAACTTCAGAGACGTAATTATGATCACGAGCACCATCATCAAATGAATGTGAATGAATACAAATCGTTTTCTAACATCACACAGAAAAAAATTGAAAAAGATATTGTAAAGCATGCATCGCGAATAAGAACGACACAATCGAAAGAATATTACTCATTCGGTAGTAGTAATAATCGTTTAGCATCATCTTATACAAACACTAATACTGATAGTCACAAACGGATCAATTTTAATCAACATCAAAATATTAAACAGAAAACAACAATACATCAGCCATCAACACCCATAAGTCTAGTAAGTAAAACAATCACCATGCATTACATATCAAAGAAATAGAGACCGGTCTAATTTGTGAACATCTGCAATTACATAATATCTAGATGTTCAGTCATTCTGATATTCAAATGTTTAGATATTTAGATATTCAGATGTTAAGATCTTCAGTTCTTCAGATATCCAGGTGTACAGATACATAGATGTTCAGATGCTCAGGCATCTTCCTGCTCCCTTTCACAGTGCCGAATATCAGGGAGAGGTTCACTCTCATCATTTCGCCTTCCCTTTTTACCATTTCCAAAAGAATGCATATTTTCAGTTTATATTGGAAAAAACCAAGATTTTTTGGGCTTTTCTATCTTCTCAGAAAAATACACATTTTAAATATATGCTGGAAAAGCAAACTTTTCTTTCGCCATGATTGTATGTCGATTTGTTTTCTTGACTTTTGGAGATCGGTTTGAATATCTAAAATTCTGAATATCTAATAATCTTTCCCAAAAAAACCATCAGTTTTTTCCAAAAATCCTAATTGTGAAAATCAGACCCTATTGTCCATTTTCCCAGCCAGTAAACAACGGTTTACGTTGAAGTACGACGTCGTAAACTGTAGTATCCACCACCGTATACTGTAATTTACCATCGTTTACGACCGTCGTAATCATGAACTTGGGTATGGATAGTTTCACCTCTTAGTGCATAAAAGATTACCATAGAAGAATTTTCCACTATAAATCTATCTTTTTTATTTTCACTCGTAAACTGGTAAGAACAACTACTACAATATTCGATGAACGATGAAACAAAATCTGAATCGGACCATGCACAACCACTTACTGAATTAGGGAATTAAGGATGACAACTACGACGGCAATACTGTATTTCAGCAATCATCTGTTAATACAGTGATGAAATATTTTTGGATGAAAGTTCGAAGTACTCTAAAAATTATTCGTCCACCTATACAATGTGACCTTGTTTTGTGTGCCATTTCACAGCGAAACAAGATAGAGAGCTCGGGCAAACGTAACCGTGTAGAGCATTATGAATAGTCTATTTGCACGTACTTTTAAGCTTTTTAAGATTTTCTTTGTTCCTATTTTATTAGAAAAATAGTGGAAAATACATGTTTTTCTACAACGCACAACTATTCGTCCACTTTCGAAAGAAAGTTCTCTTTCAGTCAAAAACTGATATTAGTGAAAGAGGGTGATTTCTTTTATCGCTTTGCCTTTAACGGAATATATACGAGTGCAAAGAATGAACGGGGTCAGGAAAAAAGTTTCTATATGAAAGGATACCATGCGCCCTGTTCCCCCAGAATGTTCAGGTGATAGAAGATTCTATTTCAAAATACCTAGCCGAATTTCGACAAGAAATTACTGATGATGATCTAGAAGCGTGGAAATATATGCTTTGGATGGCATCCAAATACATTTGGACTTATTATTGGTCGAAAATAGCCGAAACATCTTCGACCTTCTTCATAGTCTTTCTTAGAAAACACTAACTCGGAACAGTAATTCGTGTGGAAATTCGAAATAACCTCATTAACGGATAGAGCACATCAACTTGTACTAGGAAACATTGAAGAGTTATAACGACTCGAACAAAAGCTAGGCTAACAAATCATTAGCGCAAAATAGGCGTTAAATAAACGAATTCCTCTTTCGAATCACAGAAAAAGCATATTAAAACCTCTTTGCCTGCTCTGCGCCAATCTTGGCTCATCCACACGTGACTGTATTAATAAAGTCAATTTTCCAATAGCTGGAGAGGTTTAGGCGGGCTTCTTTTATTTAACGCCTATTTTGCGCTAATGATTTGTTAGCCTAGCTTTTGTTCG